AGACCAGGACCCGAAAGCAACTGGCACACAAGTAGGGCAGAGCCAGGAGGGTGGAGCCTGCCTGCTCTCTTGCCTGCCCTGGAGTTGGCTATGGTTCTGGAGGCTTGCTTGCCTTGTCTGCAGCAAGGGCTGAAAGGGAGCCGGGGTCGGCTGTATTGGAAGCCGAGGTTCCTGATGAGTGACCTGGCTGGTACCCACAGTCTGTGTGACAAATGACCTATTGTTCCAGCCCCAGAGCCTCAGAGACAATGCCCGTCCTCTGAGGATAAGTTCAGGAGCTAGAGCGGCTCAGGCTACTGTGTGGCCTGGGTTAGGCCTCTTAACCTCCCTGGGTCTCAACATCGTCTTCGAGCCCTTTTGGTGTTAAACTGCTGTGGCTAAGCTCACACTCACCACTTCCTCTGGTCCTGGTGCCTGGGATGCAGCCCCTTTAGGGTGGTGGGCTCCCTGTGATTGCCAGGAGGAGCTGACGCAGCCCTGTCCTCCAGGGTGGTGGCATGGCTCCCTGATGCACCGGCAGATCTGCGCTGGATGCAGGGACAGCTGAGGAGCTTAGCCCATGTGCTGTACTCCAGGACAAAGACACAGCTCCTCAGGGCTGTCAGGTGAGGGCAGGTGGACTGGTAGGGGCCTCCTTAGTCACTAATCCTCCCCGGTCACCATGTTCTCCCTGGTCACTATGTCCTCCCTGGTCAGTATGTCCTCCCCAGTAACTATATCCTCCCTGGTCACTACATCTTCCCTGGTCACAACGCCATCCCTCTCCATCATTACATCCTCCCTGGTCACTGTGTCCTCTCTGGTCAGTACTTCCTCCCTGGTCACTCTGTCACTGTAACAGAGATGGGTCTGGGACCCACAAACCACAAACACTATCACTGCTTTGCCAAGTCACTGCCATCCCAGACGTCCCTCTGACCCTGTGGGAGCCTGTCCCTGAGTGCTGGGGCTGGGTGGCCCTCTGCCTGGCCCACTGGCTGGAGGCCCCACAGTCCTCCCTTTGTACACAGCAGCCTCTTTTCTCACAGGGAGCTCAGCACAGCCTCCCTGACCGTGCCTGTCCCTGGAGTCAGTTCCTTCCTCAGAGCAGGGCTGGGAGAACTGCCCCCTCCCTTCCTCCAGAATGAGAGGGGCTCTCAGAATGAGCACTAATGGGATTCTCCTTGTCTACAGCCTCCCATTCTCCAAGTCCCTGGCAGCAGTCCCCCTCCAGCCTGGGTTGACTCCTCCATCAAACTACTCCCTAGAACCCAGGACCACCCCGGAGCTCTGAGAGCACCGTGCAGGACCAGCCACTGACTTGCTTCCAGTCTTCCACCCAGTGTCCATATCCACTGCCCTTGATCCCAGACATGGCACCTGGGTCTAAATTTTCCTGGTGAAGAGGGCCCAGGAATCATCAGCCCAGGGAGCCGTCAATGAGGCTGAGCCCTGTCCTAGAGGTGTGTTTGCAGAGCACTTAATAGAATTGGGAGGCATTCACGATGTCCTTATCAAAGACGGGTGGTGAATAATAGGAATGGTGTGTGGTAGTCTCCTCTGTCTGCCTTTCTCTGTCCTGTACTTCCCTAAGGCTTGTGCCCATGGTTAGCCTCCCTCAGGCCACCTTGACCTCTGACATCCATTTGGTCCAATGTCACATTTGTGGGAGGACAGAGGGGTGAAAGTATTTTCTGCCTTTGCTGAATCCTAGCTGTATGAACTTTTGTTGAGGTGCTCAAAGTCTCCCCCTTTTTTCTCACAAATGTTTGTGGTCCAGCAATGCCCTTACACTTTCCTCACTCCTTGCCCCTCTCAGAAACAGAGGGTGATGTGTATGCCTAACCTCATTTGGCCTCTTCTGGGAAATACTGTTCCTTCCAGCTTCATAGATGACCCTGTGTGCCCAGGCCCAGAGGACGGGCCAGGTGGAGTGGAGATGGGGAACATGGACTATGTAGCCCAGAGAGAGGAAAAGAGAACAAAGGAATAAATCTGTGAACAAAAGTGATACCTCATCATCCATCCATCTACCCACCCACCTATCTATCATCCACCCACCCACCCATCCATCCA